TAGATTTCTAACAATTATATATTATTCTATAATAGAGTGATAATAAATGGACCAAATATCTTCTAGAAGCTAATGATAAACGTCGCAAATATTCTAGACCTGGACGGACCATTTTTATTCGAGAGAATACTAGTTTTTTACGAATTCTGCCACAACATTCAACTCTTCCTAACAAAACTAATATGAATAATACGAATGATGTTTATTTACTACTTAAATTAGCTGGGATAGATAATGATTTTAATAATAAAGTTTTTGTACCTTTGATTTCTAGTTATCGCATTTATACAAAATTGGGAGAAACATATTTTAGATTAGATTTAGAATGGTGTGATAAAGAAAATACCATTTTATATAGATGGAACGATTTTGCAAATGATTTTACTTTTACTAATGTACAACAATGGCATGTAGCACATGATAATCTAACTAGTTTACAATTACATATTACAAATACACCACGTATCAAATACTCTGGAACAATATCAGTACCATTTTTATTAGGATTAACTTGCAAAGAAAATGTAGAATGGCTTAGAGGGTTTGTTTCACAACATATTTCAAACTTCTTTCAATTAGAAAGAACATTCTTTTCTGCTGAATGTCAATGTGATAATGTTCTTAAACAAGCAAAACGAAAAGCTAAAGAATTGCGAGAGGATTTATATTTTGAAGATCCTTATAATAAAGGAATTATTAGAGAGGGATTACCTATTGTAGCTGACGGATGGCAGGGATCAAATGAGACAATACAAGCTTTAGGTGTCAAATTAATAGAATCACAAAACCAGGTGTCTGAAACAAAAAATGAGTTGAAAGTAACTAAAAAACGTCTACGTCGATCATTAGAAATCATTCATAGACTAAGAACTCAAATAGAGGATGAATCCGACTTTACAAGGTTTGCTTTTTTATTTATAATAATGTTATTTTCAAATTGAAGTATGTTTTAATATGTAATATTTTTTATTTTTTAATGAAGAAGAAACTGATAATAAACCAGAATCATCAATTTAAAAACTTACTCAAAAAGGACAATTAGGTTCTACCATTCTTGTTAGTACTAATATCTTTTTAGAATTAATTTTAAACCAAC